AACAAATCAAGTTCCTTTCATAGCTCAGGTGTCGGTTATACCATACATTATGGGCTATGAAAGTGCCAAGCATTTGTTGTACCAAGTGTTATACAACATAAATCAAGATTAGTCATTTAACAAGCAAAGTATTAAAGAGTGAACAAGATAGCAAATATAAAACATGTTAGTATCAAACATTAAAGTCCATATTAAGTTTACATTATACTTATTCTTACACCATTAGTGTAACCTTTTCACCTTGACATAATTAACTTAGCTAGACATAATGAAAGAAAGCAAAATAGATAAACAAAATAAGAACATAAAAGTTAACTAAGTAAAGGAAAGGAAATGAAAGGCATAAACTTAATATTAATGAAAACAAAGCATAAAAAATACAAAGAGAGAAAGGAAGAGCATGATCTTGATCTGAACACCAAGATGCCTAAATGCATGGCAAATGCCTCCTTTTATAGGCCAAAAATGGGAACTATTGATTTGATGACTAATTGATAAGTGGGTGACCAACTTTTGACTTGGTGACAATCCTTATCTTCTCTTGTCTGCCCAAAACGTCATTGATAACGTCAAAACTGGAGCCAGTTGCAAACATGAAAGTTGTGGGCAATTGTCTCAGCTTTCTTGTGTAAAACATTCAGCTCATTTGGACTTCTAGAACTCCAGATATGGCCAAAATACCGAACAGTGCTCGGGCTGGAAGACAGATTCGGGCTTCTTTGTTGTTGCTACAATTTGGACTTGATAATGGCCTTTTTAGATCTTGGGCTCCATATGAAAGTTGTAGGCCTATGTCTTACCTTTCCATCCATATAAATTGGACCTAAATCTGAGATCTGTAGCTCCAGATATGGCCCAATTACCGAACAGTGTTCCGGTTTGGATTGTACCGACATCTCTTTTCTAAGTTTGGCCATCTCTTTATCCTTGCAATTTAAGTTCTTAAAGTCATCAATCAATATTTTCATTTATGTGATAGGCCTGCATTTAAAATGAATATTTACCAGAAATTAAAGGTATCTTATATTATTAGATATATTATTATAAAACATGTTTTAGTTAAGGAGTTATTGATACTTCAAGTGCAAAATTATAATATAAAACCATAATAAAAATGCATTTTTAAGTATTAATCATATAACATATATATATATATATATCAGAATAGAAAATTAATATAGGATTATTCCAATGTTGTAATCCCTACATTTATTACCTTGTTCTACCGTATATATATAAATAGGAATGTCGGCTAAGACACAATCTAACACATTCTATTATTCTCAACTATAGCTAAAAACTTTCATGGCGTTAAACTCTAAAATCTCAAATCATTCAAGCCCCCATGGAATTAAAATAATAAATAAAATCCATGTTTATATTCATCAAACATGAAAAGAAAACGTTGTGGCCATCAATTAATTAAGGGTACGCACTTAATATTCCTACTCCATTGTTATTATCTGGCTGCTAATTATCAAAACTGCAGGAAGACTTCTTACTGAATCCTTCACTTATAAGGTAAAAATAAAGTTTATAAGTATCAATAACTCAGAAAATTAATCTAGATTGATTGTAAGGATAGTCTAACATCATATATAATCCTTGAAATATGTGATTAATTTGATACTCTAATATGATCAGTAAAACCTGGACATGTATAAACTGTTTTGGGTTACCTCACTGTCAACATCTTCTAAATCTCGACCATAATTACCATATATGACTATTAATTATTTAAATTGCATGCTCATTGAGGTTCTCATAGATCCATCTTCTTCCTCTTTTCTTTTTATTTTTCTACCATGATGTACCAAATAGAGCTGGCAGGTAGGTCTAATTGAAAAGCTAAAAGACTGATTAAACAGGAAAAAAAAAATTAACCAAAAAACTACTTGGAAAAAAAACATTCATTCAATTTGGATTTAATTTCATAAGCCTGACACCAATTAAACCAGACTAAGCTAAACCTATTCAAATTAAAATTAAGAACTCTTTTAAATTTAACATGGATAGAAATAGAAAATTTTCTTTAAAAAACTCAAACTCTAAAATTCATTCTTGTTATACGCCCCATTCCCTCTCCCCCCCTGACTCCTCCTCGATTAGTCGATCTCCTCCACCTGCTACTGATTTTTTTTCCTCTCCTAGCTAGGCAAGTCTTTATTTCTTTGTCTTTGATTCCTCTCCTCTCCCGTAACCCTGCTCATATTAGTTATCAAAAACTTAGCTTGACAAAACAAAATTACTAGTCTATCTTACGTATATTTTGTTTGACTGGAGTGGAAAACCAGTGATAGAACATAACACTTGTTATCAAATACAGTGGGGGAATGCTTTGAGGTGTGAGGGCTAAAGTTCTAGAGCTGATGAGGAAAATAGTATTTCTTTTTTGGTTTTTATGAATGCCTGCTTTGTTGATATCATACTGTAAGGTTAAACTCTGTGAATTTGTTATGGATGGATTTGATGAATTCCTAATTAAGGTGGCTTTCGTGGTTAATTTATCATGAGAAGAAAATTTTAGATAGTTGTATGAGATAACGTTATTTTAATATATTTGTTGTACATAAGTATTTTAATAAATTTAGTATACTGCGAGATGAACTTTTTAGAGAGTGGTTTGAAATAAAAATAATAAGTAGATATATTTGTTGTACATGCCTTTTCTTGTTATTGTTCATATTCATGATTTATAAATTTTTCATATTTATGTTTGTAAGTCCAACTTAATGAGATAAATTTAAATGAGATTCTCATATAAGTGTTTATAAATCCAATGTATTAATGAGATCATTTTTTGTTCATATCTCATTTTAGTTTGAGTATGTTTAAAGCAACAAGAGATGAGTAAGTCCAACAAAACAAGATAAACTTAAATGAGATTCTTACATAAATGTTTATAAATCTGATATAATAGGGTTATTTTTTGTTCATATCTTTTTTAAGTTTGAGTAAGTTTAAAGCACCAGGAAATGAATTTTTTTAAAGAGTGATATGAGTTTAAAAATGAATCGATATATTTGTTGTACATACCTTTTCTTGTTCAGATTCATTACTTATAAATTCCATATATCTATATTTGTAAGTTCAACATAACAAAATAAACTTAAATGAGATTCTTAAATAAGTATTTATAAATCTGATATAATGGGATTATTTTTTATTCATATCTCATTTAAGTTTAAGTATGTTTAAAGTGACAGGAGATGAACTTTTTTAGAGAATGGTTTGGGATAAAAATAAATTGTTATATTTGTTGTATATACCTTTTCTTGTTCAGATTCATTATTTATAAATTTCACTTATCTATAATTGTAAGTCCAACATATGAGATAAACTTAAACGATATTCTCACTTAAGTGTTTATAAATCCGATATAATAGGATTATTTTTTTTCATATCTTATTATTTATGGATGTCATTTAAGTTTGAGCAAGTTTAAAGCAACAGAAGCTAAATGTTTTTAGAGCGTGGTTTAAGATAAAAATGAATTAATAAATTTGTTGTATATACCTTTTCTTGTTTAGATTCATTATTTATAAATTCAACATATCTATGTTTGTAAGTCCAACATAATGAGATACACTTAAATAATATTCTCATATAAGTTTTTATAAATCCGATATAATAGATCATTTTTTGTTCATATTTCATTTCAGTTTGAGTATGTTTAAAGTAACAGGAGATAAGTAAGTCCAACGAAATAAGATAAACTTAAATGAGATTCTTACATAAGTGTCTATAAATCCAGGTTATTTTTTGTTCATATATCTTTTAAGTTTGAGTAAGTTTAAAGCAATAGGAGATGAACTTTCTTAAAGAGTGATATGAGTTTAAAAATGAATCAATATATTTGTTGTACATACCTTTTCTTGTTCAAATTCATTATTTATAAATTTCATATCTCTATATTTGTAAGTCCAATGTAACAAGATAAATTTACTTGATATTCTTACATAAATGTTTATAAATCTGACATGATAGGATTTTATTTTTTTCATATCTCATTATTTATGGATGTCATTTAAAGTGTGGTTTGAGATAAAAATGAATTAATATATTTGTTGTATATACCTTTTCTTGTTTAGAATCATTATTTATAAAGTCAACATATCTATATTTGTAAGTCTAATATAACGAGATAAATTTAAATGATATTCTCATATAAGTATTTATAAATCCGATATAATAGGATCATTTTTTGTTCATATTTCATTTAAGTTTGAGTAAGTTTAATGTTTAGATTTATTATTTATAAATTCTATATATATATATATATATATATATATATATATAAGTCAAACATAACGAGATAAACTTAAATGATATTCTCACATAAGTGTTTATAAATCTGATATAATAGGATCATTTTTTGTTCATATCTCATTATTAATGGATCTCATTTAAGTTTGAGTAAATTTAAAGCAATGAGAGATGAACGTTTTTAGAGAGTTTGAGATAAAATGAATTGATATATTTGTTGTGCATGTCTTTTCTTATTCAAATTTATTATTTATAAATTCAGAATATTTATGTTTGTAAGTCCAACATAACGAGATAAACTTAAATGATATTATCATATAAGTGTTTATAAATTAGATATAATAGAATTATTTTTGTTCATATCGCATTTAAGTCTAAGTAAGTTTAAAACAGGGGAGATGAACTTTTTTAGAGAGTGTTTGAGATAAAAATGAATTGATATATTTGTTGTACATGCCTTTTTTTATTCATATTCATTATTTATAAATTTCTCATATTTATGTCTGTAAGTCCAAGGTAATGAGATAAACCTGAATGAGATTCTTATATAAATTTTTATAAATATAATATAATGGGATAATTTTTTGTTCATATTTTATTATTCATGGATCTCATTTAAGTTTGAGGAAGTCTAATGCAAGGGAGGGAGATAATGATTTTGAAGAGTAGTTTGAGATCAAATGAATTGATATATTTGTTATACATACGTTTTCTTGTTTAAATTTATTATTTACAAATTTTGCATGTATATAAATTTGTAATTCCAATGTCACATCATCAACTTCTCTTTAGATTTTATTATCTATGATTCCATTCAAGTGTTTGTAATTAAGCTTGATGTAAAGGGAGATGAAAGAATTTAAGACAATGGTATATGATAACTTTAAATTTATATATTCGCTGCACATAAAATTTGTTTTAAATCTCATTATTTATGAATCCCATACAAATGTCTGTAGGAATGATATTAATGGACAGTCTTTTATTTAGATTTTATATAGATATTTTATAACGGAATTGTCTTTTGTTTAAATTTATAATTTATAGATTCCATGCAAGATTTTTAAAAAAGTTTGATGTAAATATAGAGAAGAAAAATTAGAGGGCACTATGAGATATCTTTAAATTATTTAGATTTTATTATTTTAGAATGTGAAGTTTGATGTAAAATAATATGAAAAGGTTATATAGGTGCATGGTATTTTTTGTTGTTAGGGCTATGCATTCTGCTTCTATTCATTTGTGTTATTTTGTTTGCTTGTAATATTGAAAAAGTATAGATAATCTCTTAAGTTTGCAGGACAAACAAGTCGTAAGTAAAACATAAGTGAATCGATAAGGAAAAAACTGAGTTTAATAAGACTAAATTGTCGTACAAAATCTATTTTTGAAATGAAAAATTAACTCGTAGCATTCTTGTAAGTATAATATAATGAGTTTGTTATTTATTCAGATTTTATTATTTATATATTTCTATGCAAGCTTTTGTAAGCTTCACGTGAAGGGAAATAAAAAATTTAGACAATCAAATAAAATATCTTTAAATTAATATATTAATTTTACATATATTTTTTTTTCATAGTTTATTACTGGGGAATCTCATTCAGATTTTATTATTTAAGGATCTCATAAAAGTTTTTGTAAGTTTGATGGAAGAGGAGATCAAGATTTTCTTACAATATTGATATGAGATAACTTCAAATTAATGTATTAGTTGTGTGTGTGTGTGTTGCTTATGTTTCTTTATTTATGAATTCTATATAATTAAGTTTCTATAAGTCTTATATAATGAAATCGTATTTTGTTCAAATTTTATTATTCATGTATCTCATTTATGTTTATGAGTTTATTGTAATTAACAAGATCATGAATATGAAGATCTTAATTAAAGATATATCTTCGGACAACACCAGAATTTTCTCTGTTGTAAAACCGATTAATTTGGTTCCTATTAGTATCAATTTTCAAAATCTTATAAGAGATTTTTAAATTAATTAATTCTTAAAATTATGCCCCTCGAAGAAAGGTGTAGTTTTAGATAGTCGTATGAGAAGATTTTCCAAAATTAATATCTTCATTGTTAGACCTTAAAATTTTGTATTGATCCCTTATAAATGCTTTTGAAAAAAATATATAAATCAAATGAATTAATACCTTCTAGTTTTCATGACTTTTTCATTATATTTGTGTTCATTGCATTATATTTAGACCATATATGACTATTAATTAATTAATTTGCCTACTCATTGATCCTTCTTCTTCCTTTTTCCCCCTCGCTCTCTCTCTTTCTCTCTCTCTCTGTTTTTTTTTTTTATCATGATGTAACAGAGATAACAGGCAGGACAATTGCCAGAGTACTGATCCTACAAATCAGTAAACGAGGTTCATTAATTTGGACATATATATATATATACATACACACACCAATTTCCTTCTCTCTCAATGTTTTTCTAGTTACTGAGTTGTAGAACAGTGCTGTTTGTCTGTTGCCCTTGATCAATTATTTTTTTGTGTTTTCACATTTTATATAATTAGATCCTATAAGTCTGCATAATCAGTTTGGCTAAAAATAAAATAATTAGGCCTTAAAAAATTTATATTATATCTGGTGAGAAATCATTTGTTTCAAATGGGAAAATGCAGTGCTAAATCTTGCTAAATTTGTCTGATCTTGTTGACCACTTATTGGATATTTTCTCTCCTTAATTACTGCATAATCATAAATAAAAAAGAAGAAGAAGAAATTTGCCTGACCTTTCTGCCATTTATGTTCGTGCTCCCTGCTTCAGAATATGTAGAGTGATAATATTGTTGTAAAAAAATGTTTTGATTATATATTTCATCATGTCAACCAATCATAATATTTGATTCAAGAATTGAAAATGGATGCCACGATATATAATATCTGAAATTAAATCAGATCTGACAGATAGAAACATGCAATCGAAATACCATGAACATATTATAATTCATGTAGATTTGGTAAACAAGAAATTTATTCATAAGTAAAATACTGTAATGAACTGTGTCCAAACAATAGCTAAAAAGGCTCAGGAAATTAAAGACAATTCATAATTAAGCAAGCAAATTAATTAACCATTTCAAGGGAAAAATGAATTGGTCCACAGTCCATTCTGGTTGTTATCCCCGGAAGGCAGCACCATGTCTTCCCCACCAAACCCCATATGCTCTTGAGGGGTCATCAAGTCCATGAACCATTGCTGTCTCTGCATGGCACCCACATTAACCTCAAAATCATTAGTAACCATCTGAGATGACTCCGGCGCTTGCTCTCTAGCACTGCTAGGTCCAGCCCCGGTGGCTGCAGCTGCTTCCAATTGAGAGGTATGGCTAGTGCCACTGCCACTCCCATTGTTTTGGGGCCTGTTGATGT